CCCCAAAACCCCAAAACCCCAAAACCCCACGTGTTGTCATTTTCTATTAAAGGAAATTATTAATAATTTATTATAATTCAACTAATTCAGATTTAAGCATATTTAATCATTTCGTCATTTGAGATATCTGTTTATATATGGTTCTAAAATTTAAGGTGTTATTGGCTTAATCTAAAAGTAGTCCATTCCACTAGCAAAACATCTTTACTTAAAGCTTTCTGTATCGTAAGCTGTGACACAAACTATAGTACTTCTTTAACTTTTATTTGGCCTATACGGACCTTGTGATTCCTACTCAATTTATATCATTTACTCCAATAGACGAATTTCCTAAGTAGCTTGAAGTCCATCCATTATAGGCATATTTCCATCCATAAGTATCAATTTATAATTTCTTGAATAATGCTCCCTGCATTTATCAAATCCATTGGTATCATTAATCCTTTCTCTCACCTTTTATACAGCCTCTAGACCATTCATCGCCTTGTGTACTTTGAGATTAAATTGTATTTCAAGGATAGTTTATAATGTTACTATGTTGAAAATATGGTCATCAACAATGAGAATTTCAACCTAGTCCCTACACTACGGACATTGCTCCCTTCTTCTACTTAGTGCATTTAAGTCAGTTTTTGTTTTGAGATCAGTTGAAAATATCTAGATATCATTAAAATTAGTTGGTGAGTCAACGCTACCTTCTAATGTGAATATATTTCCTGCTGAATTCTATCTGCTTACATCTTAATCTTACAACTCTAATCTTGCCTCGTTATTTAGTAGGTTATGATTCGATCTGAAAGTCTCTAGATCTTAATTCTGATGACCTTGCATCCTATTTATTTCTTAAATAGAATCTGATTGATCATCTCGAATTTTTATACTAAATGTGAAAGTTGTGCCTTGCTTTGTTGGATCCTGTTCCTCTAAAATAATATGGCCATCGAATGCTTCTACTATTTTTTTACATATGATTAGTCCTATACCAATGCCTGAAGTATTAATTGCCGAAGAAGTTTTTAATTTTCCAAACATCTAAAATAGCTTTTCTCGCTCATCACTTTTTATTCCAATACCTGAGTCACTTACACTTATACTTATTTCATTGTTTGACTGACTAAATTTCATTAGTACAGAGATGGTGCCTTCGAAAGTGAATTTGAGTGCGTTTTGAAGTAAATTCAGTAGTACTTACTATATTCTTGAATCATCAACTTTTAATTGACTAGGGAAATCATCTTAACAGAAATAAAGAAGTTAGATTCCTTTTTCTTAGGCTCCAACCTTAAACATATCAATTAAATCTCTTATGGATTTTCTCAAATTCACTGTATTTTCATTACGCCTGAATTAACCATTTTTGATTTGGAAAAAATCAAGGAGATCATTTACTAGGAATAACATGAATTTTGAAGAATTTTGAATTATTGGTAGGAATCTTTTTCCTTGATGAACTACAAATGATTCAAGATTACCTAGGAGACCAATGATTGCATTCAATGGTGTGCGCATGTCATGTGATACAGTGGCAGTTAGCATCTCATAATAGTGATTTTCTACTTTCAGTTTTTCATATTTCACCACAGGTGTTAGGTTTTTAATCAGTATCATTGAGTGTTCAAATCCTTAAAAGTGAATTTAGCACTATGAGATACTAACAATTTCAAAATTACTATGATCATTCTGAATATTATTAGACTCAACCATCAGAACTTAAGATTTTGTCAATATCTCGAAACATTCATCTTAATAGTCTCCATTAGAAGCTTCAAATAAGTTCAAATATGGTTTCATGGACCTTGATCCAAATTAATTTTGATTATCAGATTATTAAAGATGGTACCTCCTCAATTTTACATCAGATATGAGTTTTTCTAACTCACCATAATCTTTTTCTTCTTAGCATTAAAAAAGCTTTGTGAATTCTAGATTTGTAAGAGCTATTTTTTTATTAGTTTCATTGAATAGAAGTATACCCTCCGGGATTTTATCAAAGATTTATTTGAGTTCATCATTCATAACACGAATCTAGTAAAGTTAAATAAATTATTACTTCAATCTCTTCTCAAAATGATAACAAGTTAGAGCGCTGACTAAGAAAGTGGCAAAAAGTAACCAATGAATTGAGAAATCAACTTGACCAAAATAATGAATGTAAAATCCAGAAATGATAGAATAATTAATTATCATTCCAAGAGTGGTGAGCATCCAATTATTATTTAGGAGTATACCAATAGACTGAAAGAATGAGTAAGTTATGATGTTTGCAACTAGTAGCTATGAATTAGCAGGTATATGAATCGAAGGAACTATGTTAACTAAAAATGAAGGCACTATCAACAAAGAATAGATTTGATTAAATGCTATTGGGAAACAGTACCCAAGTGCCATAACAACAATCTACCAGCATATTCCAAATATTCTCAAAAACCAAAAGAAGATATTTGTTTCCTATTTTGAAATTACTACGTTTGACACTAAAATGGATAGATTCACCATTCTTAGCGCAAGTAGGATCATGCATGATTTGAGAATTTCTTTATTCCTTGAAAGAGAGAATTTTCTGCTTAGCTCTGGATCCTTGATCCTGAGAAATACTTTAGAATTCATATTAATAAGATAGCTAGTAAAGTTTGAGCTTAATACAAATATTTAATAAGTTTAATTACGCAAACATAAATTTTATATTTCTCCCATTTACTATAAGCCTACTTTTTGGGCCTGCTCTAATCCAACCTAATTATTACAAATTAATTAAAGCTAAACTTATTTCCAAATTGCATTCCTTTGATTAAGGCTGAAGGGGTTTTGGGGTTTTGGGGTTTT